CCACTGTCCTTTTTGACTTGGGCTCTTTGTCAACCCTGCAAGGTCACATGAGATCTAATATAGAAATGAACTTTTCCATATCGATCCCAAGAGTTTTAGGATTTTCAATTTACGATCGCAAGGGTTTTTGATGGTTCATATGACAAGAATACTTTCCAGGCTTATGACTGACTTGGGTTTTGCAATATGCTTCTTTTTGGGGTCCGTCACTTTCATGTTAATCATTTAAAATTTCATCTACTGTTGCTGTCCAACCTTAAAAGCTACATATCTTTTGTTAACTCATCTGAACCTTCCTTTTTTGCTTTTGTTGCAGGTTGAGAGTGTTTGGAGCTCAACCGGAGAACGAACAAGAAGCAAGGAGCATTTCACTGTTCTGGATATCAGTTATCACAATCTTAATTATAGGACTATATGAACTCTACATGTCTGTGGACTTACAAGTAGTTTCTTCTGCAGTCTTCTTTCTCCCTTCTATCGTGTACTCCCAGATATATCGAAGACTGCCATCATAAACATATATATGGCTAGTCTTCTTGTAATCGGTTATCTTGCTTGCTAATGAACGCTTAGTATTGTTCTATTCTATAACATCATCTCCTCGCAACACACCTCAACAATCTGAAGCAGATATCATGAGAGCTTCTTCGATAGCTGTGGCTCCACAGCATCAGAATTTGCCTGTTTGATCATAATTCAAATTTTAATCCGAGGACAAGTTTTGTTGGAACAAATATGTGGAGAACAGAGCAGTTTCTGAATCATATACTTGATATTGGATGTCCGGAAAAGGTTGAGAAGATGCGAGACTCATGACGAGTCTACCCCGTCCAACAAAGTTCATCAGATTGGGCGTGGGATGCGAGCAAAACCCTCGCCCCAAGGAAGAACAGATCTCGCAGAAAACACAAGAAGAAAGCGACTAAACAAGCGGAGTCTCCAATGTGTAGACTTACTAATCGGGGTGGATGACGCAGACCCTGCGCAGCATTAACAGGGACTGACACTTAGTGCATTTATTAGGAGTCTCGAGGTCTTCATGGAAATGTTGCAGCGGACGGAGGCCATCGGAAGGATGGATAAGCTCTCCTCATGTGCGACGTGGGATCAGTCGGACGAGAAGAAAGCTGAAATTTCATCCGCATTTTAATGCATGAAAACCTCTATGTTTGTTGTATTTCTCTTGAAATCCGATTTGTGAGTCATTTTGCATTTTTCTCTGATGAAAATAAGCTAAACAATTTTGAAATTAGATGTAGTGTGTTTATTTAGTGCGGATGACAAAATTATCATTATAAATCTCATCCATTAATTATCACCTTTTTTTTTCTTTTGTCGCAAATTAGAACGCTCTGTAGGATAAGAAATGAAATTTCAGAAACACTTCCACAATCTGTAAACCAAGTTTTAAGGAGTCGTATGGTCCATCAGTCGTAGAAACTAGAAGCAATCAGGAGGAGCAGATTGTGAGGTCTCCTTCCTCTTCTGCCCCTCTTGCATATTACGGTTGTCCAGCTGGTCATCACTCATCGCCATCAGAGAACCACCGCTTGACCACACCATCCTCCTCCTCGCAAGGAGGAGCACCATCGATGGTATAGAGTCGAGCGAACTATTGTCCCCTCTCCATCGACTTCCATTCTCTCTATCTCATGGCATCCGATCCAAAGAGTTCCTGGAGCGAGGAGGAGAACAAGTCGTTCGAGCTGGCGCTGGCGTTGTACGACGAGGAAACGCCTGAACGCTGGCACAATGTGGCCCGGGCCGTCGGCCGCGGGAGGTCTGCCGAGGAAGTGAAGCGCCATTACGAGCTGCTCGTCAAGGACATCCACCTTATCGACTCAACCAAGGAGCCCATATTCCATTACCCACCGACGAGGAGCCAAGGTTAAGACTGGGATGTGAGTTCTTGTTGCTTCTCCTTCTTCCTCGTTCTTGTTTTGCCTTCCTGGCTAGAGAACTAAGTCTGCTTCGTAGTTCCTGCCTTGCCATCCTACACAGATCCCTCTGCTAACTCACTAGGATTGCTCTATGTTTCACCATCAAGAAATAGTGATACAAGCCATATGTTCGATGAAAAAGATACGCCCCCCCACAACCCCTCAATAATAAGATGAATAGGGTATCAAATGCATGGAATAATGCTTGAAGACAAGCCATGATGTAACTCAAATTAAAGCCATATGAATGATATAGAATATAATGTTCTCTGCTACTGAGAATAGGAACAATGGTGACCACAACCACAATATTAATTTCAAGTATAGGACAACTTAATTATGTGGAAAGGGTAAAAGAACTAATACAAATGACCATCGAAAAATTGCTTGTAATATGCATACTAATCTGCATCAATCTGGCTTTGAGAGAATTAAACACTTAGTCTTCTGCGAAAGGGAAAGGAATCACAGCCAATATCATCTGTATTCCACAAGCTAGAAAAGCAGCAGCAGCTAAAGGAAAGTGAACTCCCTTGCAAGCTCAGGCGTTAGCCTCTTTAGCGCAACAGATATAGGGACAACGTGATGGAATTAGACGTAAAAATGACCGACAGATTATTGAGATCACCAAGCAAAAGACAGCAAATGAAAAGGAATGCTAATGGAGGAACAAGAAACAAGAAACAGGTGATTGAGGTGCTCGATTTGTCAGTCCCACCGCTAGATTCCAACGAGGCAATGTCGGATTCTTTTCTACTGCCTTCTTGCTCGTATTAGGACGGACGGTATTAGGTGACAATGGCGATCTCAGCTATGATTTCAGGCTTGTAATGCACAATGGATCCATAGGAAGCATCCGATGCATCTCGAGTTACATGTTCAGCTCTTCGCAGGGGACCGACATGTCTTGTCTGTGGTCACTTCTGAACCGTGCGTCCCTCTTATCTTCCTTTGTTGGTGGCAGCTCACCGATCGCATGCGATAAGATTAATGCAGAGACAGTTTAAGCTAAAGATCGATGTTTCAAATGGCAAACACGCACCGGAGGATGAGAAGGAAAGCAGCTCAAACCAGTAAACCCACAAGATGAACAAAATTTGTCTTCCTCCATGGCCTGAGTCCTCCTGCGCAAGCGAAGTCAGGTTAGATGAGAGTCTGGTCTTGGCTACAGCTGCTGTAGGGGAGGCGTGACTCTGGCGGCTGCTGGTGCTGTTGTTGCACTGGGGGTTCCTGCTGGTGCTGTGGCGGCGGCTGCTTTCTGATTATGGTGTGCTTGTTGTTGTGCATCCAGACCTTCAACACCTGTCTCCTCACGCCGATCTCCGCACAGAATTGCTCGATCATTTCGCTATCTTGCCTCTGAATCGTCCACCCGATCCTCTCGGCGAAAGCCAACATCTTATTCTTCTGCTCCGCCGTGAACTTGGTCCTAAACCGCTTTCTCGGCATGGTTGCGGCCGTCGGCGCCGCAGCGTTGATCCTCTCCTCGCTCGACGACTCCGTCGTCGTGCCTCCGCTGCCGCTGGGTCTGTTACTACCGAACTGGAAGAAGCCGGACGACCCCGGCACGGTCGGCGATGGGCTGGAGAAGCCGCCGAGTTGGAACGGCTTCTGGTGGTGGTGGTGGTGGTGGGGATGGGCTAGAGGATGGGGTGGCGGCAGCAACACAGGCAGGTGATCGGTGGCATGGTAGTAGGAGCCGGCGGCGTTGGTGCCGCCATCGACCTCCCTGCGGTGGAAGCTACGGTGGCAGCCGCAGGCTGCACAGTTTAATGCCTCGGCCGTGTCAGGGTAGCCACTCGGCATGAACTCGCCGCAGCCGTCGACGACGTGGCCGCCTATGGCAGCGGCATGGTTGCGAAGACATTCTCTGTACCTTGTGGAGATGTCAGCAGTGGTAGTGGTGGTTGAGTTCTTACTAGTGATGGCAGCAGGTTCGGTCTTAGACGGCACGCCTGCACCGGCTGCACCTGTAGACGAGTTGGAGACGAAAGATTGGCCAGTGTTCTTGGTAAGAGACTGGGGTGAAGGATCCATGGTGGTGGTGGGTTCAAGAGTTGGTGGTGATGGCGGTGATCTGGTGCTGCCAAGGATGTTACCATTTCTTGCTCCTCCTCCACCACCACCACCACCTCCAAGTCCCCCTCCTCCCACTCTCGGGGATAGAAGAGAGGAAGTGGGGGATAGAGTGGGTTTAGAGAAGGCCGATCCTCCTCTGATGAGAGAGGAATTATAACCAGAGGGAGAGGAAGGCATTCCTACCTCGTTAGGATTCCTAAACTCCATAACGACACCTCTAAATTTCACCTGCTACACGATGCACCAATCAGAGAAGAAGGAATCAGCTAATCAGTGGGATTCGGCAAACCAAACGTAGTAGATCACCGCAGGATGCAATCTTTGGGATAAGTGCCACAAGTCCAGCTCTTACTGCACCCCACAAAAGCAAGGACGAGAGATGAGAGGGACCGGACTCAACGAGCAAAAGTGCAGCTCAAAATGCAACGGCAAGGAAGCGCATGCGCTGCTTTAGGTGCACAATATTGAGATCAACAACAGAGGGGCGTAGGACATGGTCTCCTAACAGACATCTGAGGGGTGGGAAGGGGAAAGGTGGGAGGGAGAAGGCTGTTGTTGTTGTTGCTGCTGCTGGTGATCAAATCAGAATGAGGTAGAAGAGAGATGGGGTCTCATGAGAAGGAGGGAGAGAAGATGAGGACGGGGTTGCCGCAGGGAACAACCGACAGGGTCATGCTTCGCCCTTCCCACGCCCTGCAAGTTGGTCCCATCCCTCATAATTATTGCTGCAAACTGGTGATCACATTTACTTCCGCAGCAGCTGTTCATCTGCTCACATGTCGGCTCTCTGCATGTACAACGTCCTTAACTTTGCTGTTTGCTGCTACCGTACCTCGCTCCTCCTCTTCCTCTTCTTCTCCGTGCCTCTTCTTCTGCAACACCATTAAACGCCTCTCTCTAAGGGGATTGGAAGAGCTGTTGTGAGATCTCATGTTGGTGCGTCAGGGGCCCAGCACCAGAAGGGATTGGGGTTCTTCCACCAACTCTCGAGCTAACTTTTGCTTGGTCCTTCTTTTCTTCTCCTTGCTACCCACGCAAATACTTGCTACCATCTTTATTTCATGTTGCTGTCTTGTCATCTGCAGCCAGCAGCCCCCTGCTCACCGCTGTCCTCGACATGCGCAAGTCTTAGTGGACTCACCGTCGTCTCTTTGCTCACACCATGAGCACTACAGGACTCGGCCTTAGGCCAATGCAGACACTAATCGTGTCAGTGTTTGGGGGGCGTCAGGTCTTTCTGTTCATGGACTTGGCTGTCCCCATCTGCTGCAGCAAAGCATTCTGATCGATCGAGATGATGGGAGTTGTATGCTTTGCTGCCGACTGTAGCTTGGAATGATGCATCTCGCGGCAGTTCATTCTCGTGTGCCGATGAGCTTTTAGATTTTGTTGGTCGTTTCTGATGAATCGTAATCTTAAATAGGTGTTCAGAAATCAGAGCAGACATACGATTAAAAAGGTTGCTACGAGTCCTTAGAATTCCAGTTTATGATCTTAGTGGGCAACTTGAGATCCATCGAATACGTACATAAGTGAACTATCACTGCATTAAAAATCATCAAAAGCTGCAAACCAAGTCAAAATAAACTGAGGGAGTCCAAATATTCGGTAAAATTTTCATCAAAACAAACCAATTAATGAAAAAAAATTGAGGACGTATATGAGAAGAATGGAGATCGATTAAGAGAATAATTTTATAATATTAAAGATCGAATGAGTCAGATTATATATATTGGGTATGATCTATAACCTAAAATTTTCAATTTTCAATAATTTGATTTCTAACTTGATGACTAAATAAATTGTGTGTGCTTGATTGGATTGGATTAAGATGAGTTGCAGAATAGATTTGAATGAGTAAATCGAAAAATTCATAATATAATAAACTTAATTTTAAAAAAACAAAATAAATTAACATTAAATATGATATATATATATATATATATATATATATATATATATATATATATAGTATATTATTA